GTATATATATATATATATATATATATATATATATCATGATTCTTATAGTTAATTTCTACTAGATCCATGTACCAGCTTTGCACATCTCAGCAGGTAGTCAAATCATCTCTCAACTCTTTAATCATTTTGGCAAAAGGAAATTACCATTAACATTTCACATGCACAGAGACCCATCAACCATTCCACCACCCGTTAGCTTAACAAATGACAGTCATCTTCATACTGGGATTTCTTTTTTGGGTCAGAATCTCTTCATTTTGTTGTTTCTATGGTTCCAGGGTATATACAAACTTACAAAGATCTGACTTGACTATAACTTTGAAAAAACAAACAAAATATATATACCCATTAAAATGTCCTAGAAGCATATTGCTTTGTAGTGATAAAGATGAAACCTAACTATGACATAAATTAACATCCAACAGAAATTGAGGCGACTTAAGCGTTAAAGATGTTGTTAAAACTAAGTGCTGATACATCTACATCTAGTTCAAGGACAAGTTACATGGTGGCTGGACCACTGTAGGATTATAACAACAACAGAATAACTAAAGCTGAATATTCAGAGTGTTTATGCATTGTCTCTTCTAATGACCATCTAAGATATGAAAAACATCAACAGGAAAGAAGGCACTAAACATTATTCAGATAATTAGGTAAGCAATGTTCTGTACACAATGGAAAAATCGATAGTAGTATATGCAATGGGAAACACTAAAGAATTTTTCTATGCAGTCTCCTCTTCATCCGAAGTAAAGGCTAATTTTGCGGGTTGAACTAATGATATGCCAATGACACTTTCACACGGAGAGCAGCCGAGAATATAACCGGTTCCTTCTCAGTGTATTTGTCTTGTATGTAATCCAGTGTTAATCAACCAGTTAAAACGGTAAATTTCAATAGTTTCTTAAACATGGTATGTGCCTTGATAATCAAGAAGAGGTCATTGACCAACTGCCTCTTGCACAGATTGAATTGGTGTCTTAAGGATTTAATCAAGCTGCTCCTGCTACTTGTATAATGGCAGCTCACATGATGCAGTATCATATGATTTCTTACAAGAAGTAGCACAAAAAACTGCAGCAGACCAAAAAGATGATGGTGAGACGGCCAAGAATGAGATCCTTTTTCCTCATTTGGAGCATAGGAGCGATTTCAGGAGAATGATAGTAAAAGAAACATTATACATAAAAAATACAATTGTACACAATAAATAAATTTGGTATCGATAAATGAAGAACCTGTCTAGAGATTTGCAATATACAAGGATTTTTTTATGATTACAACACAGAGTAGACCACGACCACAGCTACAATCTCATCTCTTTTGGGAGGCTGATGTCTAAGAAATACAAACTGGCAAAAAAAAAAAGGAATTTCAATATCTGAGTTTAAAAAAACGAGAGCAAGGATAAATAATATTTGTATAATATAGCACTAGTGTGATCAAGTTCAGTGATCTTCCATGAATCAGAAACAACTAAAATTGCAGATAGCCAGATACCAGTTATGGTTCAATCTAATCGACTCAAAGGTTGTAAGAGATCTCAATATTACAAAAATATTGCTCATAGTTACACAGAAGTCAAGGGATATTAGGAATGTGGAATGAATGAAAAAAGAAAATCCAAATGGTTGTTAGTTGGAAGGCATGAAGAATTGACATTTGCAAATATTCTTTGGTCTTTACTAAGTCTTCTGAGAAAGTGAATGATAAATACAGACACTATTCTAAGGCCTGAATAGAAGTGCTCAAAGACGCACAAGATTGCTTATGCATTAACCACCAAATGGTGAGTTAGGGAACACAATCTTCTAATACAAAGTAAAGTCATAAATAATTTTATAATAATGACTAACCTCACAGACATAAAAGCCATGCCAAGAAAAAGTGCCTGAACAGCTTGTTTATGGCCTGCATAGTCAAATGCTATAGGTAGCATTTCATGCAATGTGAGAAAAGCCATCACGCCAGCCACTAATTACCGAAGTAAACATACAAAAATTAGAATTTTGAATATTGATTAATTTTGTATTGAAAACCTTTGGTGATATAAATAGGTGAGGAACCTGATCCAAGCAACCCTTCAAGAATTTCAGGATTTAGATTTCTTGGGAAAAGATAAGCTGCATTAAACAACAAAAACAACAAAGCCATATCAACAAGGCATTAAACCAAATATTTTATTAAAAAGGTGGAAATAAGTGCCTCAACTAAATTTGTAGAACTAAAATTTTGACAATCAACAATTTGAAGATACCTTGCGTCTTAGTTATTGAGATTTGTTGTGACCATTAAGAAATGTATTTAACTTGTAAGCTTTTATTATCCAAAAACTGTCATGTGAAATTTATATGGAGAAGTTCTCATCTAAAGATTTGAACTATTTAATAGTTAACAAGAACAATATAATTACATAGGATAGGTGTCTCATAATGAACTTAATAGCGTTCACTTAGTTTACATCAGATATATAAACACTCTCAAATTATGCATATCTAACATAGTACATGATGAAAACTCCACCTATAGACCTTTCCAGATTTGTTTAATCTGCACGTTAGCTGACCCCAGATAGTGGGGAGTTTATGGGACAGTACAACTTGTTGCACTCAATCAATCCATTGTTTTAGATCAAAAGTGAAATTCTAGTTCCTCGAAGACACCCTTAGTCTTAAATAATAATGATTATAAATCACTAAGTTCTCATAGGCTAATGTTCTGGAGACCTTGTTAGAGATTGAGAAATGTCAGCTCATTTAGAATCCAAGCAAAACAAAAGAAAGAAATCACCACCAAAAATGCTCCTCACCCTTGAAAAATCTAATGTTGCTTTAACATACTTAAGGAATGACACATGTTGTCAACAATAAGCAGGTATGTGTATGCCCATTGCAAGCAGGTGGCTCCTAAAGTTTAGGCACTAAAAGAATGCTGGAATAACACCTGATAGAGTCAGGTTCCACTGCTGGACACGATGGAGGAGGTTAAAGCAAAAAAAAATTCGTTTCTAATTATGTGAATTTTCAGTGATGTGCTTTGGTATTAGAGTTGATAAGTTAGTTGATATCTATAACTACCAATTTTTTTGAAACTCGCTTGGTTGCTTTGGGAAAAACTAGATACAATTGCAGACAACCTCAAAATGCTAGAGGGAATTTTCCAAATAACTAGTCATAAAATCTTGGTTGATCTAACAGGAGAATGCCGGGTAAAACTTGCATACCTATGATTATCACACCTAGTGGTTCAGCAAAACCTGAAAGTGCTGCCAATTTGAAAGCCTGCCATTTGCTGGAACATGCAGATATAATACCAACTTAAACTATGAATTAGACTCCATTTCCAAAAGTAAATGCTAATAGCATCTGTTCTTTTATTTGGCTTGACTTTTGTCAAGACATCTAGCATATAAGAAATGTTGAAGGAGTAAAATCATTATAAGCCGAAGCATACCTTTCCGTGGCATAATAGACAGGAAGAGCAACAGCAACACCCTGTAAAATGAATAATTTCATTTGAGATGAAATCGAAACTTCAATCCAGATTTCAAGACAAAAAAATAACTCTAGACATATTATGTCTATTTGTCAAAGATAATTAATTGAAAAATAGAATTGATGATTGGCTCAACCACATGAAGGCACAAAATCGTCGAGCAATCTAATGAAATAGATGAAGATCACCTATCACCAATCTAATGAAGTTGATGCATCATCATTTTACAAAAAAAATGATTTAAACAAATTAAACTGCATACACAAAATTCGGAATTCCAGTAAGTTTGAATTAAACAGTATGGCTGATAAAATAATTAGCACTTATTATAAGAATTACGAACCCAAATGCAAGTATGGCCCTGGTACAGGATAGCAATGAAGAGAGTAACATGCTCATTTTACAAAGAAAGGACAGGTATCAAAATTTTTGTCAATGCTTATGTTATAATTAGAGAACTATAGGAGTGGCAGCTTTTTGAGCAATCCATTCAACTTACAACAAAAAGACCAGGTCTAGGCATAAATCTGAACCCAGAAAATATCCAGTTTAACATCTAGATCCACTTTGGGTTTAGGCATTTCGATAAATTGCTTTTGGGTCCAATTTTTCTAAAGAAACTTGGATCATGGTCAGGTGTCTCGCTTAGACAAATTTGGACAAAACGGGTCTAGGTTGTTACCAGGTTGAACCGTAAAAAGACATGTCAGCAGGCACTGGTTTAAAAGACAATGTTAGTTTTATTATATGTTCTACCAAACCCCAACAAGCATTTTTAACATAAGAGATCAAATTATATTAAATTTTATAGTGTTAGAACTAACACAGAGACAAGGATTAAGATTCCTGGTTTATAGAAATATATTAACAAACATATAATTTTAAAATAAACATTCAGTCAAATATACCTCAGGAATATTGTGAAGAGCAATAGCCAGTGCAAATGTAATGCCAATTCGAAGTCCCTACAATATTTGCATCCAAGATAAATAGTCAACAATAAACTATACTAAATGAGAGAAAAAAGAAAGAACAAAAAAAATAAGGAAGTTAAGGATGAAAAATATAAAAGTGAAAAAAAAAACAATATATGCAAAATTGAACTAGAATTACATTCTGATAGCACTGAGTGAAGTCATATCAAATGTCCTAAAAAGGGATATGCAATGCAAAAAGGCATTGTTAACAACCAGAAGCTTAGATACTGAGACACAGCATAACAGAGCAGTCATGCTAGATCAAAATTAACATAAACTCAGGATGTATATTGCAGATAGAAGGTTAAGGGATTCAAAGAACATTTAACATATGCGACAAACAAGCACTGAAAGATAATTACAAGTGATAACATTTAACATATAACAGGACGCAGTTTCCAAACAGTATCAAGAATTATGTCTGCATTTTAGAAAGAACACATGAATATAGGAAGAGAAAGATATAATGAGATTTACATCATTGTTTAAAGGAAAAGGTAAGAGTTAAGTTCCAAAATATGAAGCAAGAAGATCTTAGAATCATAGTCATGACTCATGAGTTTGATATTCAGAAATAGTTTCCAAGATGAAACAGTTTATAGTTCAAAAACTTTTCAGAGAATTCAGAAAAAGTTTAGAATTTATTCAGATAGAAACATGTCAGAGTACATATTTCTATAATAGAGAATATCCTCTGATACATTTCATGTCTTAGCTTTGAGTTAAATAATTGTCACTTAAGATTATCCTAAATGATTTGAGAATGAATCATAACATTTAATCAAGTAATTAGTTCTCACCATTAGTTTGTTCATGGAGAATTACTTGGAGAATCAACGCCAAATAAAAACTCTAGAATAATTTAAAGTTCTCCAAATATTTAGAGAATACGGTTACCATGCTCAGAAGAAACAGCTTACATTTATTGTAAAGATACACTGTTTTCAGTTTCAGTGAATGAACTCATTAAAATCAATAGAGAGTCAAAAGATAAGGAGCTCCGGTAACCAAAATAGCAAAAGTGATTTCTAAGAAAATATTGAATTATGTATAGGTTTTTATTTGTGCAAATGATTCTCCATAAACTTAATAGATATTTGTTCAATGATTATTCATTTATTTTTTGAATGATACAATATCATTTTGAGAAATATAATAAATTACAAATGTTGTGTATGACTTTTTGTGTATCTTCAACCATCTATTTCCCCCATGTTCTATTATGCAAGAAAGTGTATCCAAATATATCAAAACCCTTAATCTTCTGCATTTTCTACATAACTTTTACAACAAGTATATAGTCGGAACTCATTCCAAACTTTTCCTAGTTTTCCGTATTTTTCCAGATTAGAAGCTTTGCTTCTTATAAAATGTTCCATACTTATACGTGAACTTGTGACTATAAACAAGAGAAAAATGAGATGCAAAGAAGAACTTCCACAGAAAGATGGTGCTTATTCTGAAATTTAAACTTCAAATGTAGCATAATCAACTTAGTGGAAATTTAAAAGAAAATCAATAACTTGAATATTCATTTGAAATGGCTGCATAGGAACACAGTACGCAACATCCTCCAATTAAATCATGTAATATGAGTAATGATGAACAAATCATCAATCTGTTCAACCAATTTATGCACAAATTCCATGGTAGACAATCTAATAATTCAATGGGTGTGTGGTTGAAACCATGCATGTTATGGTTTTAATAAGCTATGTTATCTCAGAAGCCTCAAGATTAATTGGAAGATGTGCAATCATGATGTAATGCCTATAATTTGTACAGGAATAACATATACCTTGGTTGTTCCAATAAAAACGGCCATTCCTTCAGGAAAGTTATGCACAGTAATTCCTGCAACTGATGATAAGAACTAATTGCTTTTAGATGAAGCCAATGAATTATTGAATATATGAGACAAAAGGTGCATAACCCAAAAAAAATTTCATACAATCTAATATTTTCCTTGCAAGCATTAAGTGAAGCATTTATATCGATCAAGTGATCCAGGTGTGTTAGATTTTTAAACAAATTCACTAAATATTAGTATATAAAGAATCTCATGGTTAAATAAAGAATGTACATGTTCACTTACCATATCGATACCCTGTTTAAAGAATTTCTTTTTCACATTCTGTTATGGCCTCTTGTGTTTACTCGTTCAAAGTTCTGGCTGCCATAGGGCCGCCCTTTTCACCTGACCCCAAGAAGCCTCCAGGTGGACTTAGGCCAACTTTAACATACAATTACACAAGTCATACATATGTAACATTTAGTGCTAAGGAGTGTATTATGTGCCATCTTGTATTTCGAGATTTTGAAAGACATCATCATTGCCAACCCTGATTAGTCCCACATCGAAAGTGGGCAAGACTAATATTGACTTATAAGGGTCTGATAAGTATACTATCATTGTTGCATCTTATGCCACTTATTTTTATTGGCTGAACCACACAAATTTTAGCAATTAATGCCTATGATTGTCCAGTTTTCTACCTTTATTCTTGGCCCATATGTCTGTGTTTTGAGGCCTATTCTGGTGGTCTGCTACAACACATCTTGCAGAACCTAAAATGTGAATTCTCAGTATATAGATGTTTCCTATCACTTTACTCAAGCCTCAAGGTACATTAAAAATACAAAAAATTATTCAGGATAACACTTTAATATTCTAACATCATCTAAATAGGCTATGCAATGGATTTATTGTGGCATAATCAACAATAGATGGAATAACAGTTACTTAAAAACTACATGCATACTTGCATGCTAGCCTATTTTCTCATCACTATCAGCATATGCCAATAACAAGTTTGTTCTATTAGAAAGATAACAATGTGACACAACCAGTTTCTTTTGTGATAAATGCATATAATAAGCAGATGCAAAGCTCCTTGCTATATCATTCTATACTTGATTCATATTACTTCACAGCTAGAGATTGAACTGATACTAATGAAAAAAAGAGAAGTTTCTTAGTATGCATAATATAGCAAACTTTTCCTACAGATAAACCATGTGAAGATTAAACTCCAGAAGATTACAGCTATGACAATGTCTAATAATCAAGAAAAGAGACTATAATAAAGTTTCTTCATCAATACTTTCTGAGGTTGTACCAAGCACAACAAAGGAATGTTTACAAGCATCATGGGGCTCTTCTATCAAGTAACTAAAGTAAAATGCTTTGTCCTACTCCACTTCTACACGATAAACACTGGCTATCAGAAAATTAATATTCCAACACTTTAAACATTTCACTTTGGTGATATTTTAATTATCAAACAAGAATTTACAAGAGTTATTAATTGCAATAAAAATAGTGACGCTAGTTACATCCTGAGGTCTTCTTTATGTTAGGATCGTAAAGGCACTAAGAGGGGGGGGGAAGGGGTGAATTAGTGCTTTCGAAAAATTTCGATTTGAAAGTTCGATCAATGAATATGTATCGAAATGTGATTAACAAAAAGTGCGAGTAATGATTGCTTAGTAAGTAAATCAGTATGCAATAGTAAATCAAGGCAAAAGAAGAAATGCAAACTGATTTATAATGGTTAGTTCGTCCCGACCTACGTCCATTCCTGATTCCTCTTCCTTTGAGACCACCAACTTTCACCACCGATCTTCTTTCAATGGGCGAAGATCAACTACCCTTGTTATCACTCTTTCTCCTTTTCACAGGTTTAGGAGAGAACCCTTACACCCCTCTTTTATAAAAGACCTCTCACCTCCCTTATAATACCTTCTAAACTCAAGGAGGAATAGACTCAACACTTTTCAAGAGTTTATAACACTTTAAAATCACGAGCTTTTCATGCTTTGTCAAGCAAGCATGAGAGGGATATTTATATGCCCCAAATGGCTTCAGAAATGGAGCTAAAAATTCAAATCCCCGGGTTTTCAGGATTCTAACAATACCACCGCCTGCACTTGGCAGTACCACCACCTGACAACCTGAGCACTGGCGATACTACCGCTGCCTGGGCGATACCACCGCTTGACATAACCTGGGAGACTGTGTTCTGATAGTACTACCACCAGTTTGGGCAGTACCACTACCTAACACTAGGCGGTACCACCGCTGACCCTAGCGGTACCATCATCGGGATTTTTAAACATGTATAATTCGTACTTTCCAACTCACTGGCGATACCACCGCTTGGCTTGACGGTGCCACCACCTAGCCTAACCTCAGGTCACTGAATTGGCATTCCAATTGGCCTAATTCGATCCTGATTCAGGCCCAATGGGCTCCTAATCAAGTTGGCATAGTTACATCCAAAACCAACTCAATTAGACACTTAAACTACTTCGATCAAGACACAACGTTACAATCATGAAGCCTACATTGTCCGGTATGTTATTAGTTCATTTGGTACTTCGTCCGAACTTTTGGCACATCGTCCTTTCCTTCGGCGTATTGCCCGATCCTTCGGCGTATTGACCTCCCGCAACATCCAACCTTGGCGCAATGTCCGATCCTTCCGGCCCGATGCCCGATCTCTGACATGATGAACTCCGCCCCAATGTCTGATTCTCCTGCTTCAATCGATATGTCTTTTCATGATCGAAAATTCTCCTGCATCACTTATCTCGAACGTACATTAGTTCATAGACTCATCAATTGATTTCATCATCAAAATCCAGGATTCAACATTTTAAACACCAGCACTTGTGTTTAAAGATGATTCAGGAGTTGGAATGTATACTTATTAGTTTCATAATGGCATCTATCATGTCTAGATATTTGTGAAATAACATGGAAGAAGCACCATAGATCATTTTGAAGTAAAAAGTTATATTTTCTTCATCATATCAAATGTGTGATATGCATCACAAAAATAAGTATACTAAACAAAGTAAAAGGCAAACTCACCAACTGCAGTAACTATTCCACTAAATAAGACTTGGCGGTGGTGCTTCCTGATCATGTCCTTAACTGATCCATCACCATCTTCCTAAATCTCTTGTATCAAATAAGTGTTAACAATACAAATAAAATGACTGATGCACATGATGTAGAAGTACATATGTTAAGGGAAAAAATGAGTCATTCAAACCTTACAAGTTCCTGGAACACTTGGTTCTGGGATGAAATTGACAACAGAAGCAAAGAACAAAACACCTACAAAGAACTGCAGAAGTAGCCAAGGCCACAGATAAACATTTATCTAAAGCCAAATATATTCACAAGCAACATTATCTAATTCCTAATCTCATCTTGTTGTGTCAAGCAATCTAAAAAGTTGTAGAGGGCAATCTCACCCAGATGTTGCCTCTAAAGAAACCAAGGGAATTCATAGCATTATGTGCCAAATCGAAAAAAGACATGCTCATCATAAGTCCGGCAGCAAAACCCTGATATGAAAATCAACATCATATTTGATAGTTTCTTATGAAGGTAAAAACAATAATTAAATTGCAAATAGAAGGATAGAAAAATATAAACATAATATCACCTGTAAGCTCCCGATCATCTTAAGATTGGGAGCATTACTAAGAATCACCAAAAGCCCACCTGTTCAGATATCCAACATTTTCATGAGCAAAATCATCTTGAAAAGAGAGAGAGAGAGAGAGAGAGAGAGAGAGAGAGAGATGAACACATGATATAATAAAACCTGTAGAATTTATAAGATTTTAAAAGTAACCTCATGATGAAAAAAGAAAAACATATATTGCCATTGTTGTTCATGATTTTATGAGAATACAAGTGTGTTGAAAATTAATTCTTGACAGAAGGTGTTTTAACTTTTAACCCCTTGAATAATACATCCTTAACAGGTTCTGACCTTTGATATACAATAATACCTCCTGAAGGTGTTTATGCAACTTTGAGTTGCAATGCATAATATTTGTACCTTTAGAACAGCTAGAAACAAAGGCGTAAAGTACCATGTTTTCATTTTTCAAACTGCCATTGAACAAATTTGATCATATTGGCCATATACCCCAAAAAATTACCATTATTTAAAAGACATATATATGTCTCCACTGTTACAAATGCATCCGTAACAAAACTAGGACACTGAGATCAAGCTTATGAATTTCATGAATGATAATTATATATAAAACCACATATATTTAACTCCCTGCACCCATATGACCTATAATTTCCGTTGACCTGGCTTGAAGATTCAGCTGAGAAACAATCAGTCTCAACAAAGACAGACCGGTATTGATCCAAGCAGTTCAGAATTTTGGCCAGCTTGCTCAGTGTCTCCCTAACAGCTGTAGTTAGCAATCAATATCAAAAATTTCAGACTAATTTGTCCTTTGTCTCAGAAATTTCTGACAAAAACCAACTAGTTCAGATAGAAATAGTTAATTCAAGGTCCAGGTACATTTGAAGTATCTAGTCCAGTGATTCTTTTGCTAAATTTGTTTCCAGTGAGAGACCAAGTGATTACGAAATATTTTTAGCACTTCAGTAATATATAAGAAGTGAAACAAGTGATCAGTTGTCATGTGCAGCGTAACACAAATCTTCGTAGCCTTTATGAACGATAATACAATGTCATCAAGTGATCTATCCACATGACACTAAATCTGAAGTCTGTGAGCATATGCACTAAATTTTTTTGATGTTACATCAGGAAAAGAAAACTAACTATTGGGCATATTCTTATCTTATATACTATTCTACTTCCTGTATTAACATTTCATTGTAATGGGTCAGACACAGACAATCTTTCTCACAAATTAAGGGCTGGCAAAAGAGGAGAAGGAAGACATCAATAGACGACGAAATCAAGAACCAATTAGCGCACGTACCAATCGAGGTGCTCAATCCGCCTACCAGCGAGAGCGCGAGGGCGACGAGCACTTGCGCGTCCATCGAGAACGAACCCCTTCAAGGCGTCCCTCTGTTCGGATGAAAGAGAGGCTTCTCGAAGAAGAAGCGGGAGAGGATTGAGAGAGGCAAACTATTCGGAGAGTCTTTGTGATGGTGCGGTATATATAGCATCGAGGCCATATTTTCATATAAGCCCTTGTAAATAATGAATTTACGGAAGTGCCCATTTTGCAGGTTTTTTTATACGTAGATCTCTAATATTGTAGTGGCATTTTTTCTTATATATACCCTTGTAAAATACTAGATTTACGGAAACACTCTTACGTAGGTTTTCTAAGTAGAGCTGTTTCGATCAAATATAATAATAATAATAATAAAATGATAGAGTCTCAACTATTTAGGATCGAATAGAACTTACGATTGAAGAGTTTCTTTAATTTACTCTTTATTTTAGATCTTCTCGAGTCGGCTTATTTTTTATGCTCTGAAAAGTATGTTGTAGCTTTTATTAGAGATTTACAGTAATTTATATTTTTTTAAAAAAAATATTTATGATCAATATATGGATCTTTTAGAGATATATAAAAGGCATATATATTTAGTTAAAGATATTTAAATGTATTTTCATATCTTTTAATAAATTATCTTTTTCTCATACTAATAATCATAATCATTTTATAATTTTTTTTATATTTTCTTATTATGGTACTTGCTAAGATGACCTAAATTATAATGATTTATATGTGAAGTAATACATTTATAGAAGTAACCTTTCATACAACATGTAATTTTATAGTGGCATATTTGCATATATACACTCGTCATGTAACCTTATTATGGTACATGTTTTGCTACAGATGATACCCTTGACAACTTTGGTTTTCAAGGTAGAAGTGATCCAAGACAATCCTGTTTTTGTTTGAGTTTAATTGGGAATCCAATACTTTTTTCCATTTTTAAATGATATTATGTTTTATATATATATATATAT